TACACCTGCATATCATCTGCATAGAGAGATAACTTGACTTCCTCTTTTCCTATTTGAATACCTCTGATTGCCTCCTCTTCTCTGCTGCCCATCAAAAGAGGACTGGATTTTTAAAATGTGGTACATATACACGATGGAATACTACGCAGCCATAAAAAAGAACAAAATCAGGAATTTCGCAGCAACCTGGATGGAACTAGAGTCTATAATACTGAGTGACCTCTCACAGAAACAAAGATCCGAGTATCACATGTTCTCACTCATATAATGGACCTTGAACATCCAATGTAATACTATAAGATAATGACTGACGGTACTGGGAAACTATGGGGGAGGGGGATGGGATTAACAGTAGCAAATATCTGCCTGGGGATGGGAAAACACCTCTTATCAACAGGGTGCCTGAATGAAACGTCATTGTACACCTAACCCTTAACTGTACCCCACAAAACCATAATAAAAAATACTGATTAATAAAAAATAAAAAAAAAACAGAAAAAAGAAAGAAAGGGATTGGGAGTAGTGGGAAACTGCCAGGGGAGAGGGGCACACCTCATCAACAAGGGTCCCTGCATAATGAACATTTGTATACCTAACCCTGATTGTACCCCACATCTTTAAAATTTTTTTTAAAAATTTTTAAATAGAAGAGGGCCCAAGCTACTCCATATGACAACCAGAATAACTTCACGTTAGTCTGTTTTGCAATACTGGGCTTTCAAGTAAGCTTTTTTGGGAACAAAGGGTACTTTGACTAAGAAAATGAAACAATTAAAAACCACTGCTATAGAAACCCTTGCCCCTAAGTTGTCCAGATATTAAAGAGTTTATAACTATATGTGGCAGTTTTGCCCCTGCAAACTTCCCATGGCCCTAATTTATACCTTCCCCCTGAGCTGACCTTGTACTTTTAAATCCCTACCCCACTCCCCGACAAGTGTTTACCCAGTGTCCAAGCCCCTTCATGTAGAGGGTGAGGAGGAAGGAACCAGCAGCAAGCTTGGAAGCCCTCTCCTGGATATAGTCGTATTCCTGCAGGGTCATCTCACAGATGAAGCGGGACAAGGTCAGTGTCTTCATGTTGGCATGGACACACTAAAGGCACAAGAAGAATGGCTCAGAGATCAACTCAGAAAATTAACACCAGGCAGATGATTTTCTCTTCAGTTACCTTATCCCAAGTCTAAATGGCTCTCTGCTTAAGTGATGCATCTCTCTCCTGCCACCAGGATTCACCCTAAGTTCTCTACCCACAAAAGCAGATTCTGCAGAGGGGGAGAAATTCTGGAATGGGCAGTGGGATTTGTCACCTTTAGGTTTTTAACCAAATTCTCAAGTGTGTTTACGGTACCCTCCCATCTCCCCTTTCTGTACAAGTCATCCTTTAAAGAGTCAAAGTCCCCCAACTGTGAGTTTGCACCTGGTTCCTCCCTAGGAGGTGTTCCATACTTTAAAATAACCACTTCTCTTTTCTTGTTTAAACTTTTTAAAAATTATAATCTATAACATACACAAAAAGAAAATTATATAATATACACTTGTAGAATACAATAAAGTGACCTCCCTTGTAACCAATATTCAGGCAAAGAAAGAGAACAATGCCAGCATCCCCTCAAAACTTATAGGGGATATATCCATTCCTGATCAAAGCATTCTGTTTTCCCTTCTCTACTCTGGCCTTGCCTCAAAACCATATGAGCACACCATGGAAATCTGCAGTTTGCCACCCAATCCCTTCAGAAAGATTCCCCAACCTTTAAACTAGGAGGTTAGAGGGAAGGAGAAAACTCTGTGCCCCCAGTTGTCCTTTTGCCCTTTCCTACCACTCAGGCAGCCACTCTGGGTGTAGAGGGACTAACCCATCATATGCCTTCTCCCTCTTACCCTAGCATATCTGCGCAAAAAATGATAGGCGATGGGAATGTTGATATCAAATTTGAGGGTCTGTAGGATGTTGATTTCCATGGCAAGCATCTCATCTCGCCGATAAATATCATCACAGATGTACAGGAAGTCATCTAAACAAGGTGGACAGGGCTCCTACAGGTGGAGAGAAAAGGCAGTTACAACCAGGAAGATAGCCCTGCCATCTCCTCAGAGGTGAAGTCAGGGGAGAGAAGGGTGAATGACAGTAGACAACCACAGGTCCTGGCATAAACTTTCAGGGTTGCCCTGAGAGCCAGCTTCTGATTCATCTGAGTGACTGGTCAGGAAAACAAAACCAAGGAAAGGAACAGAGAGGCCTGCACCATCACCAGAGAAAGGACAGGGCCTCCTAGGGTGGATTCTTACAGTGCCAGAAGCAACATAATAGGGTACAGGACCTGGGAGCAGTCATTTGTTCTCTGAAAACCACAAATGGGAAACCTAAGACCTGCTTTGGAGGGAGGGGAAGGAAGCCACAGAAAGGGGAGCTAGAGATAGAAAATAAGCCTGCACTTTGTATCCTATTCTAAGGAATGAGTAAGGATGTTTGAGAAGGGAAATACCAGGTACCAGGCAGTGAGAGATGGGAGAGAGGCAGGCAGGCACGAAGGGAGCCTAAACAGAGACCGGAGTCTACGGTGGGGCAGAATGTATGACTGTGCATGGGGGTGAGACAGGACAGGACAAGGAAGGTTCAGGACAACTGAGGGTTAGAAGACCCACTGTTCTGGGAGCACCTTCCAGAGCCCTGTCCTCTGGACGTTGAACAGTGCTTTGGGAGATAACAAGGACACAGGAAGCCCCCTAACTCTATCCCCTACCTGTAGTTCTCTGCCCACTCCAGCCCAGCCTTCTTCCCTTGTCTTTCTTTCTCCATTTTCAGACCACAGATTGGACCAACCCTCTGGCTTTCCAGGAAACTGAGGCCCAGAAAGAAGTGACATGCTCACGTTCACCCAGCAAGCTAATGGCAATCCCAGGGCAAGAAGCTCTCCTTTCCACCGCTTTGCTCAGCAGGTGCTCCCTCCTTTCTCTCTCCTTGTGCAGTCCCCACATCTCCCCTTACAAAAATCTTTCTGTTCTCAATCCTGTGGGGGGAAGACACCCTCCTCCATAGGACTTAGTAGGGGCCCTCTGTTCTGGCCAACAGGGGTGCGCCAAGTCCCAAGATTTGCTAAGAAGTGTCCCCATCCTCTCTTCCTCCTCCATACTCTCCCTTTCTGTTGGCCAGAGATCACCAGCTATGGTTTTAACACCCCTAGGGCTCCTCTCATCACAGGGAGAGCCAGCTAGGGAGGAAGTAGAAGATAAAGGGAGGGAGCAGGTGAGGCAAGGAGCAAGGGAGGTAAAGAGGAAGAAGGTGAGGTAGGCAGGGGGTGGTGAGATAGGAGCAAGAAAGGAGGCCAGTGAAAAAAGGAAGGAGAGAGGAACTGAGAGAGAAATGGAAAGATCAGTTGAGGGAGGGAGGAGTCAGCAGCCTAGAAAGAGTGAGAGCTAGGGAGAGAGGACACCACCTAGCAGGCAAGAAGGGTAGGGAGCAAGAGCGAGGGACAAGGAGAGAGCAAGGAGTGAGGGAGGGAAGGAGGGAGCAAGAGTTAGAGAGGAAGGAAGGGAGGGAGTGAGTGAAAGAGGGAAGAATCAAGCAAGAGTGGGAGTTAGAAGGAGAGAGCCAGAGAGGGACAGAGGGAAGAAGCCAGGGAGGAAGGGAGGGAGGAAGTAGACAAGCTAGGAAGTGAGGGAGGGAGGGAAAGGGAGTGATGGAATCAGGGAGACAGGGAGACAAGTACTGAAACAGCCAGTAAGCAAGGGAGGGGGTAAGGTTATCCAGGGAGAAAAGGATCTATCCACCAAGGGAGGGAGAGAATGTAAAAGGGACAAAGGGACAAAGGGACAAAGGGATGGAGGGAAGGAAGGAAGGAGGGAGGGAGAAGGTGAGCAAGAGAGGTAGGAAGTGAGTAAGGGAGGAAAGGGAGAGGGGAAAAAAGGCAAGGGAGGAAGGGAGCAAGTTAGGGAGGGAGAGAGCCAAGGCAGGGAGTGAGGTGGGGGCAAGAGTATATGGAGAAAGTGGGGTGAGGAGGAAGCTGACACAAAAATGAACCCACAGCTCTAAAGTTCTTTGAACTCCTTAGTAAAAGTTGCTACCTCTCTGCTCCCAAGCTCTGAGGTTTCATATAACTAGCATAACTGAAGAAAAGATGAGAGTTGAACAAGACCAGCTAGTACCTAGGGAAGAGAAAGAATCAGAGAGGTTAGCTAGATTGGTTATGTGGTGAAGAAAAGGCTAGCTACTTGCTTTTATACTGCTACTTACAAATTTACTATTTCACTTGGGCCATTGAGACTCACTACCATCTACACCAGGCCATTTCTCTTAAATGTCTCCAGCCCCCTAACAAGGATATGCTTTGTTATATATGCAGATCAAAGCCCCACCAGATGGGGATGGAACTGGTGGAACAATTAAAAGGGGGGGGGGGCAGAGAATCATGAACCAGAGAAAGTTTTAAAAGCAACTACCCATTTAATTGGGCATATGCCCACATATTACATCTCAAAGAGGGAACAGAAGAAACTTCTTGCTGACGTTAGGAAACACCACCATTGTCAACCAACACCAACTTCCTTGCTTTGGGAAGACAGACAAAAAATTTGGAGAAAATAAATTATTTGGATGTGTGTAACTGTATACACACATGTAGGTACACATATATGCAAATGTATACTTATATATATGTGTATAAATATATGTATGTATAAATACATACAGTCATGTGTCACTCAACAAGGATACGTTCTGATAAATGTGTCATTTTTATCATTGTTGTGACCATCATAGCATGTACATAAAGAAACTTAAATGGCATAGCCTACCACACACCTAGGCTATATGCTATGGCCTAGTGCTTCTAGGCTACAAACTTGTACAGCATGCTACTATACTGAATACTGTAGGCAACTGTAACACAATGGCATGTATTTGTGTTATCTAAATATATCTGAACATAGAAAACACACAGTAAAAATACAGCATAAAAGATAAAAAGTCTTCTGGGGCAAATAAGTGACAGAAGAAAAGAAAATACAAAAAATGATATATCTGTGTGGGACACTTACCATGAATAGAGTTTACAGGACTAAGAGTTGCTCTGAGTGAGTCAGTAAGTGAATGTGAAGTCCTAGGACACTACTGTCCACTACTATGAACTTTAGAAACACTGTACATGCGGGTTGCACTAAATTTACGGAAAATTATTTTTCTTTCTTCAACAATAAATTAAGCTTAGCTTATAAATTTTTACTTTATAAACATTTTAAATTTTATAACAATTTTAACTCTCTCATAATAACACAGCTTAAAACACATACATATACTGCTGTACAAAATATTTTCTTTCTCTATTATATAAGCTTTTCTATTTTAAATTTCTGTATCTCTTATATTTTTACTTTTTAAACTTTCTGGCTAAAAACTAAGACACAAACACACACATTAGCCTAGGCCTACACAGGGACAGGACCATTAGTATCACTGTCATCCACCTCCACATCTTGCCCCACTGGAAGGTCTACAGGGGCAATGACATGCATGAAGCTGTCATTTGCTATGATAACAATGCCTTCTTCTAAAATACCTCCTGAAGGACCTGACGGAGGATGTTTTACTATTAACTTTTTTTTTAATAAGGAATACACTCTAAAATAACAATACAAAGTATAGTATAGTAAATATATAAACCAGCAACAGTCATTTATTATCATTATACTGTAAATAATTATATGTGCCAGACTTTTATATGACTGGCAGTGTAATAGGTTTGTTTACACCAGCATCATCACAAAGACGTGAGCAATGTGTTCACTATGATGTTAAAAAAACCAAGATATCACTACGGGACAGAAAATTTTCAGTTTCACTATAATCTTTTGGGACCATCATCATATAAGCAGTCCATCATTGACCAAAACAACATTACGCAGCACATGACTGTATATATGTATTCACTGGTATGGGCAGAAATCTGATTAGTTTTCTCCAGGCCTTAGAGACCAGACTCACCTCAAATTTTGCTGCAATCATAAAGGCAGTGGAACCAAGGAGCTGTAACTTATCCTTCTTACATACTACCTCCATTAGGTAGTGATCCACCAGCTTTACTGCCAAGTACAGGGTCTCGTGGTTCATCTCAAAGGACATCTGGAGGAATACACAAACAGGGCAGAGATCTGCAGACTGTCTAGCTCCATAGCTACCTCCACATAGATCTAGATACCTGGATTGTCTGCAGCATCAAGGACAGTCATGGCTCTGTTAGGAATGTGGAAACTGCTTCAGCTTCAGCTAGGTGCCTGTGTATGAGGGCTGACCCCCCAAAAAAATCTCAGAATTATCTTTTGGAGGGCAGGCCCCTTGTAGTACAAGCTTCTGCTAGGTCAGTATTCTAGGAACCCATCAGCATCAGTGTACCAGCTAGTGTTATTGTGCGTCACAATTTACAGAAGAAATGTCCAGAGCTGTGGCCATCAGGTGACCAGATCTTCCACCATGACAACACGCCTGCCCACACTGCAGTAAGTGTTCACCTGATCTTGCCTCAAGCAACAATTTTTTGTTTCCCTGAATGAAAAAAGTCCTCACAGGGAAACGTTTTGCCAAAGTGAAAGAGGAGATACAAAAATTGGCAGAAACACTAACAGGCACCAAAAATTGATGAGTTCAAAAAATTTTTTGAGCACTGAAAAAAGCATCTCAATAGGTGTATTGCACAAATGGAGAGTACTCTGAAAGTGACTGAAGTTGAAACATGTAAGAATAAATATACAATTTTTTATAAATAAATTCCTGGTGTTTGAGGGATCCCCCTTGTGCCTTTGAGGACCCTGGCATTATCTATACTTACACGTATGGGTAGGTGGCCAGCCTTACAAATCAGAAAGAGAGATGCTCTGCCTTCTCTATGAGCACCTTGAGTGAACACATACTCTCCCCTTGATCTCCAATACTTTGATTCTTGCTGTTCCCATTTGTTACTAACTTGTACAGTGAACTCCCAAAAGAGATTATGTTTATTTAGCTCTGATATACAGAGACTTGTATTTTAGTTTACTCATTTATTATTTTTTTCTTGACACTTAAATATGCTATTAGAATATATCAATTGGGAGCAAATACCAATAGCACCATTTGGAAGTGAGCAAAGGGACTGGACAAACCAGACTGAGATGAAAACATCAGTAATATAGCCTCTCTTCCCTTCTTTTTCTTTTCTGATTTATTTGGGCCTTCTCTCTCTCTCTTTTTATTTTTTAGTTAGTCTAGCTTAGCTAACAGTTTGTGGATTTTGTTTATCTTTAAAAAAACTTTTCTTTATTGATCTTTATGTTTTGTCTCTATTTTGTTTAGTCCTACTCTGTTCTTCATTATTTCTTTCCTTCTCCTGATTTGGGGTTTGGTTTGTTCTTGCTTTTCTAGTTCATTGAGGTGACTTATTAGGTTGTTTGACTTTTTTTACCTTTTAAATATAGGTGCTTCACACATGTTTATTGCAGCATTATTCACAATAGTAAAAACATGGAACCAACCGTGCTGCCCATTGAAACGTATTTGTATACCTAACCCTTAACTGTACCCCACAACATCATAATAAAAAAATATTGATTATTTGAAAAAAAAAAAGAAAGTGGACTAGATAAAGAAAATGTGGTACATTTACACAGTGGAATATTATGCAGCCATAAAGAAAAACAAAACTATGAACTTCACAGCAACCTGGATGGAATTAGAGTCTATAATACTCAGTGATTTATCACAGAAACAAAGATCTGAGTACCACATGTACTCACTCATAAGTGAACCTTGAACATTTATCATAACACCATAAGAAAGGGACTGGAAGTAATGGGACACGGCCGGGGGGGGGGCACATAACATCAATAAGGGCACCCACACTTTACTTGTATGATGACCATGTATGTACCTAACCCTCATTTGTACCCCACATTTTTAAAATAAAATAATTTTTTAAATAAATAAATGAATAAATGTAGATGCTTATTGCTATAAATTTCCCTCTTAGCATGCACTGCTTTTGCTTTATCCTGTAGGTTTTGGTATGCTACATTTCTATTTTCATTTGTGTCAATAAATTTTTCAAATTTCCTTCTGAATTTCATTGACCCATTGGTTATTCAGGAACGTGTTGCTTAATTCCTATGTATCTGTACAGTTTCTCCAATTCCTCATTACTGAATTTCTAGTTTCTTTTTCTTATTTATTCCTGTCTTGTCTTTACAACTCCAAGAAACCATCTCTTATAGCCCTAATTGCAGTTTGTGCTGTCCTGTACAGTACCTTTGTGCAAATGAAAAAAAAAGTGTCTTCTTTGAGTGAATGCACCATTTCAAGCAAACACTTTATCAAATAGATAACATCTTTATAAGAATTAGCCAAAGGTTGTCCCTGCCTCAGGGCACAGTAGCCCCACAGCCAAAATGCATACCTTGGCAGACAAAGTAAAAGCTGGATTCCATTGCCTGCTTTTACCTTGACTGGAAGGCTTGTGTAGGCATAATTTGCACATCTGCACACAAGAGTTCCACCCAATGCTCAGTGACAATTCTTCCTCACAACCTCTCGTGTTCTTAGGATTCAAGAACAATAAAACCTATCCTAGTCCAACACTTCAACCAATGTATTAATACTCCATTCAACATCTCTACCAAATAGTTGTTTAGTTCCTGCCATACAAACCTATAAATATAGCCCAGTATCTCTTTAACAGAAAATTCCTCCTTATATTGAGTGGCATTATCCTTCGTGTAAGCTTCACTTCATTGTGTCTCCTCTTATATAAGCTATCTTAACAACTAAAACCTAGCTGACCAAAATGTAGGTCAATGAGAAGGTATAATTGCATGGTTACCAAATAATACATGATAATGAATGATTATCAGGATATTTTTAAGTGGGTGGCATTACATGCTTGTATAGCAGGAGGTGTAACGTTTTTTTTAGAGACAGGGTCTCACTATGGTGCCCAAGCTGAACTCGAACTTCTGGGCTCAAGTGATTCTCCTACTACAGCCTCCTGAGCATGTACCACCACACCCAGAAGATAGTTGAATATAACAGTTCAGCAATATACAATTATATTTTTGAATAACAGAAATTCCAAGAAACAGTTCTTACTGTTCCTAGAAAATGGTCTTGGATCTTTTCAGAAATGTGCCTGTATTAGTCTTTTTTTCTAATTCACTTTTTTATTTTAAAGATGTGGGGTACAATTCAGGATTAGGTAGATAAGTGGTCATCGTACAGGTAAACTTTGGGCATCCCTTTGGTCCCCACTTCACCTGGTTTGAGATCAGGTACCCTTATTGATGACGTGAGGCCCCCTTCCCTGGCTGTGTCCCACTACTGCCAATCCCTTTCTTACAGTATTAGGATTAATATTCAAGGTCCGCTTATGATTGAGAACATGTGGTATTTGGCTGTTTCTGTGATAGATCACTGAGTATTATAAACTCTAAATCCATCCCAGTTGCTGTGAAGTCCATAATTTTGCCCTTTATGGCTGCATAATACTCCATCATGTATATGTACCATATTTTTTTATCCAGTCTACTTTCAATGGGCAGCACAGTTGGTTCCATGTTTTTGCTCTTGTGAATAATGCTGCAATAAACACGTGTGCATTGTTAAGATGTCCATTCTACCAAAGGCAATCTACAGATTCAACACAATACCCATTAAATTACCAACATCACTCTTCTCAGACCTGGAAATAATACATATGGAAACATAAACAATCATGAATAGTCAAAACAATCCTCAGTAAAAGAAACAAAGTGGGAGGTATCACAGTTCAAAACTTTAAATTTTACTACAAGTCTACAATATTCAAAACATTGGTATTGGTACAAAAACAGGCATATAGACCAATGGAACAGGATAGAGATTCCAGAAGCAAAACCTCAATTTCTCAACCAACTCATCTTCAACAAAGCCTCCACCAACCACTGGGAAGAGGAAAATCTGTTTAGTAAATGGTGCTGGGAGAACTGGCTGATCACATGCAGAAGATTGAAACAGTATCCTTACCTATCACCATACACAAAAGTCAACTCTAAATGGATCAAGGACCAAAATGTAAAACCTCAAACCAGAGCCGGGCTCGGTGGCTCAACCTGTAATCCCGCGCCTTTGGGAGGCTGAGGTGAGTGGATTGCCTGAGCCCGCGGGTTCGAGACCCGCCTGGGCAGCGAAACCTCATCTCTACAATAAATCCAAAAATCAGCCGGGCGTGGTAGCACATGCCTGTAATTCCGGCTACTTGGGAGGCTGAGGCGGGAGGATCGCTGGAGCCCGGCAGGTCGAGGCTGCGGTGGCCGGAAGCGGCCACTGCACTCCAGTCTGGGCGACTGAGTGAGACTCCAACTCCAAAAAAGAAAAAACCTCAAACTATAAGAATCTTAGAAAACGCAGGAGATATCCTCATAGAAATTGGAATAGGCAACCAATTCCTATTCAAAACCCCAGATGTCCATGCCATAAGAGATAAGATAGGCATGTGGGACATCATCAAACTAAAAAGCCTCTGCAAAGCAAAAGAACCCATCAAGATTGCAGGGAGACAGCCCACAGAATGGGAAAAAATATTTGCCAATGATATATCTGACAAAGGCCTAATAACTCCAGGATCTACAAGAAACACAAAAGTGCTGAAAGGAAAAAAACAAATAGCCCCGTTAAAAAGTAGGTAAAACTGCAGCACTAGCCACAATAGCAAAAACATGGAACCAATCATGCTGCCCATCGAAACTGAACTGGATAAAAAAATATGGTACATATACATGATGGAATATTATGCAGCCATAAAGAAGGACAAATATGTGGACTTAGCAGCAACTTGGATGGATTTAGAGTCTATAATACTCAGTGATCTACCACAAAAACAAAGAACTGAGCACCATATGCTCTCACTCATAAGCAGACCCTGAGCATTTACTATAATACTATAAGAAAGTGATTGACAGTAGTGGAACACAGTCAGGGCAAGGGGAACACAATATCAATAAGGGTACCTGATCTCAAGTCAGGCAAAGTGGGGGACCAAAGAGAGGTCCAAACTTCACCTGTATTAAGACCAATTGTATACCTAATTCTGAATTGCACCCCACACACATCTTTAAAATAAA